TGTATTAAATAAAATTAATATAACAATGGCATAGCTTAAGCAAACGACAAATTTTTCAGTTTTCTGTTTTGTAACACCTTATTAAGTATAGAGTATAATTAAGGCCCAAACCAAATCCCACTAGGGTGTCATTAGAATGTATATACCTTGGGAACAAGTTACAACATCATCTTAATAAAGCTTTAAGAAATTTATTTCTTTTACGCAGAAGTTTTTGTGGGTGACTTTACTTGGTATTATGTATGCATAAAATGATGCTTATTATGTATGTTAAAATATTATGGTTCTCGGTGCTCTAGTGGCTAGCACGCATGGCCACAAGTCCAGAGGTCCTGTGTTCTTATCCCGAGTCGGGCAAAGTTCTGTTATAGAGTTTTCCTGTTAAAGAATTCTCAGTAGCAGATTATTTCTTTTAGCGCGAAATATTTATATAGTACACAATTTTAATAATATTCATTTAATTACGTTTTTTTTATGATAGACTTTACCTTCCTTAATTTAATAGATACATTTTAAGTATACTAATTATAAGTAACAAATGAATGCAATACATTTTTCTAATGAAATAAAAGAATTAAAAAAAATTGCAAGTTTTTGTGTTCTTTGTGTGAGTATAATAGTCTATATAGTTCAAAAATCATTATAAAACGAACTTTAAACTTTGCATTTAATACGACGACTGTGTTTTGGTAATAACCCCAATAGTTAGTGTATTTAAAAAAACAACGGCACAGATAATGCGCGATATTACTTCTAAATCGGAAATCTGAAGTCTGAGGTCGCAAAGATGCTGCTTTGCCTTTATGAGTTGCGTAATATTTGTTTAAAGAAAGATTTCTTCATATAAAGAACTGGTTAACATAATATGCCACCGTCAAAATATATTAGTTAAAAAAGAGAAGTTGTTAAGGCATTTCAGTTACTATGGATATGTATTAAGCCCTTTTTTATCGTCCCACTGCTGGGCTTGGGCCTTCCTTCCATACGAGGGAGATCAGGCCATAGTCCACCACTGGCCAATTGCGGGTTGGCGGACTTCACATGTCTTTTGAAAATTTGCTAGTATCTCTCAGACATGCAGGTTTCCTCACGTTATTTCCTTCATTGTTAACACCAGTGGTAATCATATTGGAAATGATTCGCATATGAAAATATCAGAGGTGCGAGACTCAAGATTTGAACCCACTTCACTCGGTTTTCCAAGCGAGCGCGTTACCACTGGGTTACCACTGCCTCCTGCCCTTGTGGATATAATATTATGAAAAAACATGAATTTCAGTGCCGTATAAACTATATATACTACTGTTATTTACTAGTAAGTATCAACAAAATAAAAAAAAATCTATCATAATAGAAATTGCTTCAAACTCTAACCCTCAAAATGAAGAGTCCTCCTTCTGACATAATTTTTTTATCGTCCAGATGTCCGCTTATGAAAAAAAATAAATAAAAAGTATACTCAAGTAGTTAAAGATAAGTTAAAGCAGTCTCAGGTCATTTTATATATAATGATAGTATGAAAAGTGAATGTGGATATAATTTGATGTTTAAAGTTATATTTCCTATTCCATTGTTAATGAAGCAATTCGAATCGTAGCGAAAATGAAAACTTTCTCATTTCCTAATGGCGACTTTCAACACATTCCTGCTTCGTAATTTAGATAATATATGTAATAAATGTATGGATACCTACTACCTACTATAAAATAAGATATTTTAAAATATCTTATTTTATAAGAAGGATATTGTATTCCGAGAAAGATATAGATAGGGTTCTCATGGCTTAAGAGATCAATAGGTAATCTCTATATTTTAAACTAAAATATTTTTAACTTTTACGTTTCTGAATCGAACTGCTAAGAAGTGGAACACCCTTCCAGCATCCGTGTTTCCTGCCACCTACATTCCAGGTACCTTCAAGGCTAGAGTGAACAGGCATTTTTCCTTCCCAGCGCTGATTATAGTCAAGCGCAAGCCTATCGTTCAATAAAACAAAACAAAAATTAAGGGAGAAAAGATTGTAATTTGTAATGATTTACAATTAAACGGAAACCTCAAAATTTTATTAATTTGACCTTAATTAATTTTTCAATTTTTTTTTGTTTAATCCTTTTCATCCATATTAAAGATTATAAATCAACAAACAGATCAGATGAATATGCATGTATTATGAGATTTATGATAATTTATCGAATTGTTTTATCACCTTTTATTCATAGCGCCATCTATGTACATCTACACACACCTTATAGATACACGTACCGTCTATTACAAGTACTGTTTCATGCGTATAGTTACTATGTGATTTATTAATTTCATACAAGATGGCGCACTTTCTAAATTATTTTTAGAATATTATTTATGTGTATTAGGTTGTTTAGTATCAGCAATAAAGGCTTAATAATAATAATAATAGATATAATATTAAATAAGCAACTCTTGTATGTATATAAATTTATCTCACTTTGAAAGTGAGCTTATATTTACCAAGACGGATTTCTTACACCAACCCGTTATCTAGTAGTATTGTTGATCGAAGGGTTGGTATGAGTAACCTTTTTATTTCTCGAAATCAAATATTTTTAGTATCTTCATAAAAAAATTTTTATACTTAAACTATAAATATTAAATTACTTTATAAGATATATTATAGATAATAAACATTATAAGAGTTATTAATCTTTATATGGAGGTCATTTCACTTTAAAAATGGCTGCCGGATTTTCAGTCATGACGCCTTACCGGAAGTTCTGCAGTCCTTCCGGTGTCCTTATTATTATATCGTATGGGTATTGTGAAAATAATTATGTTCTGATGTAAACATATATTATGTATTTTATATGTAATCTTGACTTTTATGTACTTTTAAAATATTTAAAAAATAAATAAAAGGGTAGGTACCTACTTAAAGTTATTTCTAATTCTATACTTTTTACCCGACTGCGCGACACAAAGGAGGGTAATGTGTTTTTTTATTATGATATTTTTGACTAAATTAGTGTTTTTTTTTATTTTTTGTAAAACTAAAAACAAACAAACAAAAAATCAGGCAAGTGCGAGTCTCATTTGCACTCCGAGTCACCTAGAAATATCTATATTAATTTTAAAATTGTATCCACACGCTTATATAGACTCAAAGTGTTTATCGAGTATGGAGTGCCATTCTTATTTATTATTCGTAATTTGATTGCAGAATTGTTAGCACTAGACACGAGACACCGATATATAGCTCAAACTAAGTCTCTAATTAAAAAAGGTGTAACATACGGACAGACAGACATACATACGTACGGCCGTCTTTTGACTACAAAACCTTAAAAAATAAGGATTTAATAAAACTCATCATATTGAAATTTTAAAATTATTTAATTTGTATATAGGTAAAATATTTATATAGGTATTATAGACAGTGTTAGAATATTTTACAAAATTTAAGTAAAGCTTCTACGAGAAATACATAGTGGCAACTTGTAGGAAAAATTCACGGTATCATTTTATCTGTTAGGAAAATATAATTTTGGTCTTAATTCTAACTTAGCTATTATATTTATCTTTACATAATAACAAAAAAAAACACAAATAATAATAATTTTACATTCATACTTAATCTATGTAGCCTTCCTTAATTTCAAAACAAGTAGAACTACTAAGTTGCAACATTATATGGACATATCTTGGGCGTAAGCGTGTATATTGGATAAATTTTAAAATGGAAATATTAATAAAGAAGAAATCTATTATAAACATAAGATATCGTTAGAAATAAACAATATATACTTTACTGCTCAATAGTTTGAATATAAATGATATAGAGCGTATTGTAGGTACTAATCTATACATATAATAAAATTCTAAGTCAAATCTGTACATTAAATATTTTTTTGAAAATCTTATTGAAATAGACATTATTATCAACAGCCCTTCTAGTATATCCATATACTTATTGAGCCAATGACTTTAGTTAAACCTGAAAATGCCCTAATTAATGAAAATATTGCTTTTTTATCCCATTCCTAATAAAATAATTTTAAGTTCCTATACCAAGTATAAAATAATAATAAAAACTATTTTTGTAATAGTGTAAATAGTAAACTATAGTAGATCAATGGTACAATAAATTACATAGAGCAAAACATAGTTTTTAATATCTAAATATTTTTAATTTCAATATCCTTTTTTGTAAAAAGTACCTAATACAAAAATAAAAAAAAAATACATATATATAACAATACTTATTTATAACATTAATTAAAAAGTAAAAAATATGGTAACAATAATATTAAAGTACATAACAAAATATTTTCCTACTTATTGTCTAATTCATCACGTTTGTTGATGTGGTTATTCAATCTTACCCCTAAAAATTACTAGTCTAGATTAAGTTTTTAAAATATTATTTCAAATACATAGAAATATTGAAGATCTATTATGTATGTTGAAAAATAATATATTCAGCCCGAGTTAAAATTTTTATGATCTTAAAATTTCAGACGATTTCAAGTTTTTTTTTATAAAATGTAATGTTAAAAATAAAATTGTTTTAAAGTAAATTTTATCTTTTATTTCATATTATCAATTAACTAAAACAGTTATAAAAATATAAACTACCATAGCCAAAGAACTACTTCTTTCGAAATAATTTTACATATTACTGCCCTTAATATATAATATTCAAAGTAAAATATCTTGTTTATCTATTAATTCATATTCCATAATTAACCCAAAACCTAGGACCGAAGCTAAAAAAGAGCATTTACACAGAACTATTTAATCTATGTACCTACTTATTAACTAATTAATAAGAACACATAACTTGTACCTCTTTTTATGGTAAATCATTAAATATATCGGAATTCGTTTCTACGTACATTAATTAAAATCCGAAACTCTTAAAATTAACATACTAGCTTTGTCATTCGATTCCACTCACGAGTATTTTCTCAAACCCTCTCTTTGTACACAATTATTGGTTGATTGCTATATACTAAGTTATATAGTTAAATTGCAATGTTTCCGAGCAAATTTTCATCGCATCCGCGCCTTTTGCCCAATTGATGACACAACTGAGGTGAACCCACTATGTCGCCAAGAAATACACTCAGTAGATATAACTCCTTAGATTGGTCAGGTGAACTCTTGTACTGGCTGCAAAGATCAATGTTATTTTAAATAAAAGATATATATTTTATATATATATATTATATATATATATATATATATATATATATATATATATATATATATATATATATATATATATATGTATATGTAAATACGGAAATGCAACCTGAAGGCTTTTCGCAATTTATATATACATGCACATTGTATATGTATCGATACAGCTGTCGGGTAATTTTTTTATGGTATTTAGTGAGTAGTGACAAACGAGCAGACAGCCCACCTGATGGAAAGCGGTACCTGTAGCCCATAGCACCTACAGTTCATGCACTTAGGTTTTATGTTACAAAAATGCAGGACCGCAGGTGCGTTGTCACTGTAAGGACTGAGATGATATGCCTCTTGCCTGTAAGTGCGCTGGCTATCTTATCCTTCAACCGGAACACAACAATGTAATCATTGTTGCTTGGCGGGAGAAATAGATAAGGGGGTGGTACCCATCCAGTCGAACTCCGCAAGCTTTACAGAGTCCTACCACCGAGCATATCTATGTATATCCTATCTACAAACGAAATATCAATCCAATTCTTAATCAATTAAAAGAAGCTATTTACAGATACATATTTGTATTTGGAAATATTTACATAGCTATTATATTCGCCTTTAGCTTTCTACGTACTTATTTCTCTTTTAAATAATATATGTTATGAAAACAAGGTAGTAACGTAGCAAGTACTAGCTTTCCTAAATTACAATGAATAAATAGTGTTGAATAACCTGTATTATATGATGACGACATGATTGGCTCAGTTTGTAGTGACCCTACTTGCTGTGCCAGCGGTCGCGGGTTCGAGTCCCGCTGGGGGCATTCATTTGTGTGATGAGCACGAAGGTTTGTACTCTAGTCATGGTTGTTTATATTTATAATATGTATGTATTTGAAAGTTATACAAGTGTAGTGTATCAACTATCTGGTATCCATAACACAAGCCTCGTAGCTTACAATGGTACTAGATGATGCTGTGTGTTAATGTCCCAACATATTATTATTATAATAAGAAAATAAATTATGCACGGAAAAATAATCATATATCTAATAACGGAACTACTAAATAACCATCTCTATGATCGAAACCGCAGTATGTAAAGATGAACGGTTCTTATATTCAATTTAAAATACACTTTATTTCTGTAGATAAAATTGAAAATGCTAAATATAACAATTTAGTACGATTCCCTTTGCAATTGTTTAATATTATTATCAGCATTAATTGTATGAGAATAGAGTTCATAATTGTGTAAACTGAACAAAATGAACAGTGAAAGTCTCTGCGGTCTTGCATAATACCAGCTCACCTCGATTAAAGTTAAACCTAGATGTACCTAACTTAGCTATTCTTATTTAGTAATAAATAAATAAAAAAGTTCATATAAAATATTTTGCAAATAACAATTCTTTTGAACGTAACTTCTTATCAATCTATACTTATATTATAAAGAGGTAAAGTTCGTGAGTATGTGAGATTGTGAGTTTGTGACGTTGTTGGTAATCTCTGGATCTACTGAACCGATTTAGATGAAATTTGGTAAGAAAATAGTTTGAGACCCTGGGAAAGACAGGATATTTTTTATCCCGGAAACCATGAACCCGAGCGATGCGAGGGTGAGTCGCTAGTATGTCTAATATCTATACATGTAAAAAAATTCTAACTGACTACTAACTTATTGAAATAGTTATTATTATAGATACAGAGACCGAACTCGAGCGGCGCGAGTTTAATTTTGAATTTTTAAATAATAAAAATTAATTTTAAAAAGATATTATATTTAGGTATACAATATTTATATAATTTAAAGAAAGACAGAACGATAAATATTTTTGTAGTATTTTAATTATATAAAATAAGAGCCTACGACCTACGTGACACGCATTGAATTGCTAATTAGCGTGCAATGACATCACTGTCCCACTAACACTTCACCAATTTCTACGTGACCAAAACCTATTGACCTTGAAATAATTCAATCATTGATCGATTATATTTTGACATTCATTTAATCAATTATAACGATGTCGTAATTCATCGTTATTGAATATTATTTTTCCAATTAAAAAAGTTCTGTGACAAATTATGTAAGCTGTAATTTACCTTCTTTCAAAGATTCAAGGTTATTTTTTTAATTAAAATTTAGATGGTTATATTATTTTAAATTACTTACATATATTCTAACCTATATAATATCTATTTCAAGCTCCATAAAAACTGGTTTTGCCGTTTTCACAAGAAAAAGCAATAAATTAAAATTACCAAATTAATTGTGATTAACAAATTAAAAAGTATGATTATACCAGATATGTGTGTACCTACTCAGAGAAAATCTTATCAACGGTAGTGTCCCTTCAAATGAGCTAAGTTTTCGTGGACTAATTCAGGACAAATGTAATCTGTACTAAATGTAATATGTACCTACTCGTACATAATCTATACATATAATAAAATTGTAACTAAGCCGAATCTGTACATTAAATATTTTTTGGAAAATCTTATTGAAATAGACATTATTATTGATACAGAGGCAGAATCTATAGTTTTTAGAATTTTTGCCTGTCTGTCTGTTACCGCATCACGGAAAAACCACTGAACAGATTTTGATGAAATTTAGTATGATGATAGCTGGTTATCCGGGTCAACATATAGGACACTTTTTACCGCGGGAAAACGTCGCATTTCTGAGAAAAAATACAAAAATTGCAATGTAAGAGTATACTAATATGTAAAATATAAGAATTTGATTTTTCATCACCAGAACGCGGGCGGAGCCGCGGGCAATGCTAGTAAAATATCATTACTATACATAGAAATATTGAGTTATTTTGAGAAAATGTTGTAAATTAAAAAGAAATAAGATGTTGTGTTCCTAAAAGAAAACTAAAATAAACATTACGATAAATTTTCTAGAAGCAAAACTTGCACAGCGCCACGCTAACAGTTTTCTAGCCTACGTGACGGACTCCATATAAGCGTTCGTTGCGTAGTTGTTACATCACTGAACTATCAGCAAGTCTTGGCGAATTCTACCACCTGTCCGTCCGCCTGACACAAATTTTACGTCCTTGAAAACTTTTACATTATTTAAATTAATGTTGAAATACGAGTTTTGTTGCGAGACGTCGTTAGGATGGTAGGTCAAGGCTGCCTATTGTAATTTAACGCTAGGTTGTCGAACTTTGCTAACTATTGTTTCTTAAATAATCTCTAACAATATTTTATATGCGAATGGCTTTTGTAGCTTTGTTGAATTTATGTTGTTTATTGATATAACTAGCGACTCACTCGTTCGGGTTCCTTTCGTAGCTACGGTTTATCGGTAAGTATACAATAGACTATATAATATAAATACATACATAGGTATAGCAAAGCAGGTAAAAAATAAAAATAAAGGAAAGTATATCCCTTACTTGAGAAATTATTGAACCCCATACAAACTTACACCCCTTTCACCCTCTCAAGGGATGATTTTCGGGATAAAAACTATCCTAAACTCTTCTCAGGGTCTCCAAATATCTCCATACCAAATTTTATCTAAATCGGTTCAGTGGATTAAGCGTGAAAATGTAACAAGCAGACAGACAGAGTTACGTTCACATTTATAATTTTAGTATGGATTTTCTTAGATCATTATGATATTATTCCCAATGTAGGTATACCTATATCATGTGCCATAGGGCGTTAACCGGTTTCAAAAAATTATCTAGGGAATATAACACAAAAATGAAGCAATTATTCGCTATTTCCATTTATGTCAATCTAGCATATTTTATTCATTGAATTAAAATAGAAATGAAGTCCCCTGGAACAGAACTTAATTAAATTACAGGATAAGCTTTTAAACTGTTCTTCTCGTTTTTAATTACTTTCAAGTGCAGATAATTTTTGTAAATAGTGTTTTGTGTTTATAAGACACTTACTTTTGAGCTTTTATAGTAACACTAGCAACTCAACCTCGCTCTGCTCGGGTTTTGTCCCTACTTACGTTTAAACGTATAGCTAAGATTGTTTAGAGATGAGATATTTTCGCCCAGTAAAAAGTATAAAGTAAATAGTATCCTATATATTAACCCGGATAACCAGCTATCATCATGCCAAATTTCATCAAAATCCCTCCTGTGGCTTTTCAGTGATGCGGTCACAGACAGACAGATAGGTAAAAATCCTAAAAACTATAGATACGGCCTCTGTATAAATAATGTATATTTCAATAAGATTTTCCAAAAAAAATTATGTACAGATTCGGCTTAGTTACAATTTTATTATAGGTACAGATACATAAAATTTGGTTTGGTCATAAAAAAATTATATGATAAATTTTGTAAAATTAATCAACATAAAACTGAATAATATTAATGTAGGTATGTATATATAAAATAAAAACATATGCAACCAAAATTGATCAAAATGATTTTGATCTTATATTTTTCCTCAAATCAATATCGAAATGATATCCTACGCCATTTCAGAATATATATGTAGGTACATATTTCACCTGCTTACAAAATTCTATCTATTTCCCATCAATGTTTTACACAATATACACAAGAATGTTTTGTTTGAGTCGCAAGCCTCTTTACAACTACACGAAGCAAGTAATAGTAATGAAAATAAGTAATAAATAATAGAATAAGATTACCTAAACACTTGTGACCAGTCCATCTGCGGCTTAGGCTGCGCTCGGGCTCGTGTTGCAAACTGCGCACAAACCCTTTCGAACACGCATGCGCGTGCGCCGAATTCTCCTGTTATATACTTTTCAACCTCTTGCGCATCGAATTCAGGAACCTCGATTGGAAAAGTAAGCTCACGACGAGTACGAGACCGGTATGTGGCTGTAAGCAAAAAATATAAATTTAAATTCCTTACGTGTTTTTCAATCGATGTTTTTTCTATTAATTAGGGTGATATAACAATTGATGTTATGTTTTACAGCAAAATGACTTATTACGTTGCCTGTGTATTTTTTTAATTAGTTGAAATTTTTTTAACGTTGTAATAATAAGTTTGAAATATACAAGCATTTTATACTATATTGCACCCACTAACATCTTCCACACCTATAGGTTGACAGATTTCTGTATTTCTTTTTTTTTCTTTATTTAAGAGCTTTGTCGTTCACATACAAAGTTTCTTAAAATTAATAAATTCTTTTGTAAGTGCAATAAATAATATGACAATAATAAATGCATACTCCAATATACTCTTAGAATAATTCTTTTATAACAAAAATGTTATAAGCTGACTAATACTAAAGCTTAAAGCTGTCTAAAATTAAAGTGGATTTGATTTTTCATATATAAAAAACCTTTTGACAAAAATATTATAAGTTTAAAGATTAAAGAAATAAAAATTAAATTAAAAGAATGAATAGATTTGCTACATATTTTTGTATATGCATATATGAATAAATGGCACAATGGAACTACAATGCTGGCTGTATCTACGGCTCTAGTTCTCTTCAATTTACCATTGAAACATTTTTAAAAACATTTCATCCATGAATCAATCTATTTCAATCGGTTCAAACGCTTGCCACAACCATTTTTGCATTTCTGACTTTGAAAATAGAACAATAAATAAATGTACCTAGCAAAATTAAAAACTCAAAATATGAATGACTAAATCTATACATATAATAAAATTGTAACTAAGCCGAATCTGTACATTAAATATTTTTTGGAAAATCTTATTGAAATAAACATTATTATCGATACAGAGGCCGAATCTATAGTTTTTCGAATTTTTGTCTGTCTGTCTGTCTGTCTGTCTTTTTTTGGTGTATGTTTTTTTGCGTATGTTACGCGGTATCTTTGTTATATAAGCAATTTTAATAATTATCAATGATTATTAATAAATTTCGCCAATAGCTACCAAACAAAAAATGGATTTACAAAGGAGAAAAAGATAGCGAAAGGTATTTTGTCTTTGCCTATTTATATATAGATTTTATACCTCAATAGTGAATATAAATAAATTTTGAAGAAAAATAGAATAGTTATTTTTAAAATTATTTTATAGGCGGTGTGTATTTCCAATTAACATGTGGTATAATAATATTTTTTTTGTGTGGTACATTAACACACAGCACCATCTAGTTCCATGGTAAACTACGAGGCTTGTGTTATGGATAACAGATAATTGATACACTACACATATTTATATAACTTTAAATACATACATATTATGAATATAAACATCCATAACTGGAGCACAAACATTCGTGCTCATCACACAAATAAATGTCCCCAGCGGGACTCGAACCCGCGACCGCTGACACAGTAAGTAGGGTCACTACAAACTGAGCCAAACGTGTCGTCAAATTGTTATAGAGTATAATTAATTTGTAATAAATTGCTTATTAACGCACCGGTTTCAGTAATTACATACCATCCCCCTTCCTTCACAATAAATCAAGTGCAAACATTGTTTTCAATAACTCTTACCGAATAACAAGTCAAACTAGTTTCAGCATCATCCATATTCATGTTGCAGAAACATATTTGTAAATGATATATTTGGCGAAATATATGACTGATTAAATGTGCATTGTGTTGTGTATTAGATAATAATTTAGCATTATGTACGTTTTTGTGTTATGTAAATTAAAAATATATAGAGTCAATCAAACAAGCAAAGGAATCGATTTCTTTATAAATTATAATATTAAGTATAGGTAGTACAATAACATAGCATTTTAACGCATTTTCTTGCTAAAAGGAAATAATAAATAAAATTTCTGCTATAGTACAATTTAATAGTGACTGCAAAAACAATATTTTTTTCACGAATCGTGTACGCTCGCTCGCACATATGCCTTGACACTCTCAATTTACGACATCGCGTTTAATATTTGCCTTTCCCACAGTATTAATGGATTGTAGATAGCATCTGCAGTTTCGGAGTAAACGATCTCTGCATGATTTTTGTTTTGCGAGCTAAAGCTTTTTTGTCACTTGTTTGTGTTTTACATCTAATTTTATAATAATAAAATGATGCTTTTTTATTATTACTATATACGACTAATAGGCTAATGTACTAATATAGACAAGAGGTAGGCCAGTTGTAATGCGCTAGCTTGAAAACCTAAATCAAGCGGGTTCGAACTCCGGGTCTCGCATCACTAAAATTTTCATATGCGATGTTATCACCAAGATTATCACTTGCCTTGATGAAAGAAAACATCGTGAAAAAAACTTCATATCTAAGATAGAACGTAACAATTTTACAAAAGATCTTCATTTTGCGAGCGTAGTTTAAGTACATATTATAGTCTGTTCCTCCTCGCATTAACTAGAGGCCCGTACACTTTAAAATTTAAACTTTATTAATATCCTACTTGATATAAATAAATATGTCAGGACATGAACACACAACACCATCTAGTTCCATGGTAACCCACGACGCTTGTGTTATGGATACCAGATAGTAGATACATTATACATATATAACTTTTAAATACATACATATTATAAATATAAACACCTATGACTGGAGTACAAACATTCGTGCTCAGCACACAAATGAATGCCCCTAGCGGGACTCGAACCAGCGACCGCTGGCGCAGCAAGTAGAATCACTACAAATTGACCCAAAGGTGTCGTCCAGATATACCAAGATAAAGAGTAGCCATATAAGCTATCCCTATCTAAGAAATAACGTCGGTCTGTTACTACCCAATATGAATTTACAAACAAATATAGCACTGTTACAATATTAATAATGATAGCTCTGTATAATCAAACAGTTTTAGGTTGAAAGTTCGCAAATCGATTTGAACTCATTAGACAAATTGTCCATCTGAATTATCCATCATTAAATTTTAAATTGTCAAAATATCCAGGCTTTTAACTGCTATGGTAAGAACTCAATGAAATTAAACAAGTAGAGAGTAAAGATTTCATTATTTTGCTAACTATTGAGCGGAAGGTTACGACTTAACAGTCGTATTATTGACGACACGTTTGACTCAGTTTGTAGTGACCCTACTTGCAGTGCCAGCGGTCGCAGGTTCGAGTCCCGCTGGAGGCATTCATTTGTGTGATGAGCACGAATGTTTGTACTCGAGTCAGGGGTGTTTATATTTATAATATGTATATATTTAAAGTTATATATGTGTAGTGTATCAACCATCTGGTATCCATTACACAGGCCTCATAGCTTACCATGGAACTAGATGATGCTATGTGCTAATGTCCCAACATATTTATAATGTATATTTATTATTTGTGTACAACACGAATGAACGCTGACCACTAATATTTGAATGAACACTATTATTTCACTAATGAACAACTAGGTACGTACACATAGCGTTGTTACAGTTTTATAGAAATATCTTTTTAAGAGGAATAATTCTGTAATACATTGTTTTCATATAACTTTATTTGCTTACGCGGCGCACAAAAATTAAGTTCCCAGTACCGTAAACGTACGAAAATCAGCTCAGTAGTTTTTGAGTTTATAGCGGTCAGACAGACAGACAGACGCGGTGGGGGACTTTATTTTATATTTATAATATGTAGTGATATTTCTAACTAAATTCTTTTAAGCTATATATATTATACGATAATGCTTTTTAATGTAGATAATATATTAATTATATTAATATAATCAGTGTTAATATGTATTGTAAATGCGAAAGTAAGTCTGTTATTGTGTACTTGTCCTCCTCGAAAAGTATAAATATAGTGTTTAAAAAACAATCTGACACAATTAAATTATCATATATTGCTCTGAAGCCCTATTTATTGTACAACATCCCTAATAATTTTAGAAAAATATTTCGAATTTTACTCACCAGGGCTCAGAGAATATGACAATTTCTTTAAGAAATTAGTCAACCTAACACTTCCAACTATGAATGGAAAACCGACTAATTGCACTGGCAGTTCAAAATTTGTTTGTTGTCCAAAAACATAAACGAAAAATAGAAACACAAATACGAAACTCTTTACCAGCTGCATTGTTACCACTAGAACAAAACACTTCACAGATAATTTATATATAGAGAATTTTGTATAATATATAAATATTTATAATTTTTTGACCTCTAGAATATTATTAGGTAAATAGTACCGCGTGTACTATCGCAGTAAGTGAGCGTGAGTCTGTGAAGTATGATTGGAACGGCATCCCCGCTTTGCTTTGTTGGTCAATACTCCGATGTTATGTCATAGCGGTCACTTGAAGTAGGTTAGCATCACTTACCGGTAATGATTTAATATACATAAAAACGCTGAATCTGATTAGCAACATTGTTTACTTCAAATAACTTTTAAGAAAATTTACAATATATGTATAATATATAACTTAATATTATCATTATCTTGAAAATTAAGTTGAAAAAAATGACCTAACGGGTCATTTTAATATTCATCTATACAGATAAATAAATTGAAGTGTCTGTTTGTAATGTCGAAATAGCAGCGATTTACTAAATGCATATGAAATTGTATACGGTACTTACACAATTTTTATTTTTTTGTTTGTCTGTCTGTCTGTTTGTTCCGGATAATTTCTAAAGCGGCTGAACTGATTTTGACGGCACTTTCACTGGAAGATATCTGATGTTATAGGCAATAATATAGGCTATTTTTATTTTAAAAAAAGAATTAGGGTTCCGCTCAAGAAAACAAAACGTATCTAGGGACGACACCGAGCTAGCTGAGGATGAGTCGCTAGTAGTATAACTAAAAACTATCCATAAAATTATTATGAAATATAATGTCTTCATTTTGCTGATTTTAAGAGATAAAAATATTGATTATGATGCCCTTGAGTTCAATTTTGTTTACATTTTTATTGGTGTTATTAATTTTACTGTTAAAAGTTGAAATTATAACTACATACTTTATTTCAGAAAAATGTAGAGTTTATGTAGAGTTTTATTTTTACTATAGAAACATTATATGACTCAGTTTCTTACAGTAATACATCTTTAAAATATTGTTATTTAACCTTATTCTTTATAGTAAATGCTAATGTATTTTTAATTGTTTCAATTTTAGATTTTAAAAGTTACAAGCTCAAAGACTGAGTGATTATTTGGCCTTACCTCTAAGTGCCTCTGCCTGTATTGTTTTACTGATACCTTTTAAGGACACATATTTCTCATAATTAAAAATTAAAAAAAATATACGAAAGTTAAAATAAAACAGAAGTTAAATTAAACAAAATCTTTTATGAATATAATAATGATTGTTTAAGCTTTTTAAAAAATTCAAAGATTGACTCTATATTATATTATAATAAAGGTATCTCCTTCAGGTAGAGTTTTATTTTCAAATTAAATATGACTTGTTGACTTAGTGTTTTAATTTTGTGGCTGTTTGTAGAGGTATGTGTGTTAAGATTTTAAAAGTAATAAATAAACAAAGTAAAAAAATAATAAGAATGCTCTTTCTAGGACAAACAGACCGATGTTTTATACTCAGTTGTAAAAAAAAATATCGATTTTTTTTTGATTACGATACAAGCTCTAAAGTAAAACATCGAATAGTAGAATTCCGTATGTTTTTTTGCACAGGTTAATCTGTGCACGTATTCGACTCGCAGATGGATCTGCTAATTAAATCAAATATGGAGACATACTGATCTACTAAATTAGTTTACATATATAAAATATAATTTTCTATCCTTTTCAAATAAATTTTGAACTTCAAAAAATTAAAATAAATAAAAAAAAAACAGTATTAAAAACAAGCTTTTATATCATATAAATAGTGTAATAAATGAGTTTGATTTAATTTAAAGTTAATATTTTTAATTTTTAAACATTTATTCTTCTCGGCAAACCCTTTCATTTGATATCCATATCATGGGGGTGATTAAAAAATCATAATCCAAGACAGCCAAGTCCGCCATGTTGGATTAAAAATAATGTCTATCTAACTATGCATTGTCATCTAAACTAAACGTGTACGCAAAATTTCAGCTCAATCGGTTGAGGCTGCTTTAAAATTCATTACCAAGATTTGATACGAACAAACATATGTACATACAAACATTGCAAGTTAAATAAAAGCTTTTAATATAGGTAGTTCAGATTTATCTACGTAATTTCTATAATCAAAAATGTATCCATACTAATATTATAAATGTGAAAGTGTGTTTGTTTGTTTGTTTGTCCTTCTTTCACGTCGAAACGGAGTGACGGATTGGCGTGATTTTTTGTGGAAATAGAGGCTGACATAGGCTACTATTTACCGCGGGCGATCATCTAATTCCCACGGGAAAACACGTTATAATATAATAAAAAAAAATATTTATCACAAGAATCATTTGAAATTTGGTATTAATGCTCTTCAATAAAATTAAATAAATATGTGTTTTAGCATTTTTCGAAGTTATATAGTATAGGATGATACGGGGGTAAAATAGGGGATAAAAGTTTGTATGAAACTTCCTTTTTAGAGATTTTTTTGTAGTTTTAGCGCGAGCGAAGCCGCGGGTTCTGCTAATATATCATATATTCACCAAAGATATCATAATACAAGAAAAAAATTAAATTTAAATATACATATATTCCGCAAGCACCTTTCTCAATTCTTGTCAAGGTCATCTGACCAAACCTCCAATTAAAGTATTTCTCACTTAATATTACAACATTATGTAAAATATGGTCAGTATCAATTTTTATGAAAAAAATAGAATATATATATATATATATATATAATAATAAAGATATATATATAAATATATATATATATATATATTTTATATATACTTATATATACACAATTTACGACAGTAGCTTATTATGTGTACTTATAACCTAACATATATTACCAATTATGTCGTTTTTTTTTAAATAAAATTATGAAAACATGTAATGTGTCCAGCTTTAAGGATCACATATATGTATCACAATACAGTTTTCGAAAATATAATGTTAAATTTATTATCTGTTCATTTGTTTAATATTACTATAATATGTTGTTTTTTACATTAATATTTTATTTATACGCAATAAATATTATAATAAAACTAAAAACGAAAATAAATTAATTTTTAATATGAATACTAATAATTTGTCAATTAATTAATTATTAAAAGATTAACTATATTCACATACATATTGTTAATAATAATTATAAGGGACTTTAATTAATATTTCATTTAAAAGCTCACACAAAACCACAAAAGCCGAATCACGTTTCCATGATCAAAAACGATCAAAAACAAAAATTTTAAGTAGGAAACAATATTTACCTGGACTAAGCGCATACGACAATTTCTTGATGAAATTAGTTATCCTGACTGCCATTATTATGAAGGGGAATCCCACAAGCTGAACTGGCAACTCAAAGCCAGATTGCTCCGTGCCAACCATAACACTTTGTAACACAATGAACGATATTACTATCCAGATATAAAAAATCTTCGTCAGCTCCATTTTTATCTCTTAATCTAATCTCAACACCACTTTCAGCCCTACGATTTCAGCTAATCTTTCAACACGTCGACCTTAATCGGATATCCAATTATAACTGACCATGCCTAACACAACCTAGGTGGGGTGTTGTAATCATTTAGCTATGCATTACTAAATCACCGTATCGATAATATGTTACCTGTTTGGTCATCAGGACAAGTTATGTCAACGATTAAGTAACAATGCTAGAACATTCCTTAAATTGTTTAACAAGGAAATTGTTCTTACAACCCAAATCTGATAAAATACAACTCGATTATCGTAACAACTAAACTGGTATTGATTTTACGATATTATAAAATCTTATAAATCCTTCTATTAATTGCGTAGATATAAGCTGAAGTAAAACTTAATCATTGGAAATCGCAATAATTTTTTAACAAGCATTTAAAATTATATATATAAGTTATTCTGTTACTAGTTTGTAATTTGTATGTTATTCAAGATACACGATTTGTGGTTTTAAGCCAATGCTTGAAATCGAAAGTGAACGCGTTGAGAAGTAGACGTAATTCTTTGAAGGCGACATCTAAAAGACTGCACTTGTATGCAACTGCCCCACTATTTGTTCACCGCCTTTGATGTTTAAATTATTATTTACTTAAAGAAAAAATTCCTGTACATTACGACCTTAATACAGGGAAATTTATATATTACTATCGGCTCACCCTCGCTTCGCTCGGGTTCGTCGCTAGGTACGTTTTGAATAGATATAAATAGTTATTAGCCAGCGTTAACCATATAAATTTTAATTATTTTTTTGGTAATAATATTGACAAATATTGACATTAATGTTTATACGATATTAACGTCACTCAATTGTTTTGTCGTCCCGGAACCTCTCCACCAACACTTAAACTTTATGGTATGGTATTAAAGTTCAAATTGACTTTTAAGTATTATTACGAATCTTTTGTATGGGAGTATAGAAAAGTGTTGTTTTTAGACTTTTTCAGGCAATTTTTTAAATTTTTATTACCGTAAGAACCATCCTCGTAGATCAAGGAATATTCTAAAAAAAGAATTAGCGAAATCGATTCAGCTGCTCTCGAGATTTGCGCTTACCAACACATTCAGCGATTCATTTTTATATTATAGATACATACTAGGGTTCACCCAGTGGTCAAAGTTCTATCATAATCATTATTGAAAATTTGACGAAAGCTATATGATTTTTTTTTTATTGAAACCTCTAAAACTCGTCAATAACTACTAAACATAAATGAAAATCGCTTGAAAAACTGAGCACAAAAGAATACTGTTTTATTTTTGTCTATTTATATCTAGTTTTTTATTGAAAAATCCTCAGATTGGCATTGTTTTAATAATAGTTATAGACAAAAAATTCTACGCTATTATTACATTAAATTACATAATGAAAATTTAATTTTTATAATATGACAGCCCACTCAAAATAATTTGTTGTACGTTACAATTTTAAAATATAAACTTAAAATGTTGAATTTTAAACGGAATATGAATTTTCTATTTGAAGAGCCGTGAATTTTAATCACTAAGGCATCCATCCTGCTTCTGAAAATACATAAATAATTTTGCTCCACTAACTAGAATCTAGATTCTAAATCGATATCTATACATATAATAAAATTCTAACTGAGTCGAATGTGTACATTAAATATTTTTTGGAAAATCTTATTGAAACAAACATTATTCTTGATGCAGAGGCCGAATCTATAGATTTAAGAATTTTTGTCTGTTTGTCTGTCTGTCTGTCTGTTACCGCATCACATTAGCCGAGCCCGCGGCTCCGCTCGCGTTCAGATGACCAAAAACCAAATTCTTAGGTTTTACATATTAGTATACTCTTACATTGCAGTTTTTGTATTTTTTCTCAAAAATGAGATATTTTCTCGAGGTAAAAAGTATCCTTATATGTTGACCCGGATAACCCACTATCACCATACCAAATTTCATTAAAATCCTTCCAGTGGGTTTTCCGTGATGGGGTAACAGGCAGACAGACAGGCAGACAAAAATTCTAAAAACTATAGATTCAGACTCTGTATCGATAATAATGTCTATTTCAATAAGATTTTCCAAAAAATTTTATTATCATTTGTACAGATTCGCCTTAGTTAGAATTTTATTATATGTACCTATAGAAGTAGCACTCCTCGACCCTCAAACTACGTAGGTATATACATACAGTATCATCAATCTATACCTTAATTACTGCATATAAAAGCAATTAATCGTCGCATTTTTATTGCACTTTATGTACGAAATATAACAATTGCTTACAAATTCTGTGAATTCAGAACCCATTATAGATCATATCTTCTTGTAAACGTGTGTAAACTTTATTAAGGTTATTTCGTAAATTGAGGTCGTTCGGTAGCTTTGATTTCCTACAAAGACAATAGAGATGCCGTCCTCATACGTATTTGAGGTCTAACGTGAATGCTGGGGATAATTTTGGTTGCTCCTTGCGATATTGCTTCATCAATGTGGTAAATTCTTGATCGATTATTGTATTTAGTACCTTGGCGACCGCGCTTCGCTTGGAATACTATTTTTTAATACTGAGGGCTCGTTAGTATATTTTAGTTATACATAGAAACACATCACATATGTATGGCTTTACCCTTATTTTTTGACGACACGTTTGGCTCAGTTGGTAATGACCTTACTTGCTGTGCAAGCGGTCGCGGGTTCGAGTCCCGCTGGGGGCATTCGTTTGTGTGATGAGCACGAATGTTTGTACTCCAGTCATGGGTGTTTATATGTATAATATGTATGTATTTAAAGTTATATATGTGTAGTGTATCAACTATCTGGTATCCATAACACAGTCCTCGTAGCTTACCATGGAACTAGATGGTGCTGTGTGTTAATGTACAACATTTATTATTATTATTATACATTAATAACAAAGGAAATATGACAAAAATAAGTAGGTCAAAAGAAGGTATTCTAATAAGTTAGGTACTACTAAAGTAAACAAATATTTATGCCACAGCAATTTCCAGATCATTATCAACATTTTAAGCTAAAAAATGTATAGTCCTAAAGGAAATAGCTATATTTGAGAGCTAAATTACGCTAGCGCATTTTACACTTTAACCAACAAGATACTTTTAAATAAAATACGGATAGTGGTCTTAATTTAAAACATTTTCTGAATATATAAATATTTAATTTTCATATATAATTACTGTTAATAATTTGTTAACTACATAGTTTTATTTATTTTTCTATATTTATGAAGTACTAGAAGCTTTAAAAATATTTTTTTGCTTTAATGTATTTTTTTTATTGCTTAAAGTACATAAAGTTGCAAAAAATAAAATAAAAAAATTTGGCACACGACCCTGCCAGGATTCGAACCTGGAATCTTCTGATCCGTAGTCAGACGCGTTATCCGTTGCGCCACAGGGCCGATAAGAGCTTTGCTCCAATTTGTCTAAATGTTAATAGGTCAAAGTAATTAAAGTAAATTATGTTTCTACAATGTAAATTATATTTAACTTAAAAATACTTGTATAAAAAAGCTTAAAAAAACTTTTATAAATAATTATTGATCTTTGGAAATTAAGTAAGTTATATATAAAAATAATATATTTTTATGTATGTTTATTTTTATATTTATGAATAATACGAATGTTATGGAATATTGGATTTATATAACCAACCATACGACTAAAATTAGCATATTCTCTTTTCATAACGTCGGTTAAACCAAAAATAACTAACCTTGCAACGTCAAGTGGCAGCAGCACAGCAGTACCACGAGCAAAAAACCCTTACCCATTTTACTTTTTTAGAATCGAAAAACAAAAAATAAAACTTATTTACACTGTCACTCTGTTAAGGCCCCCGTAACTTGTGAGTCGTTTCCATTCAACGCAACTTTGATAACGTTACGACATCTATAAATGTATTTCTACTTCTGGTAGCTATCGTTAAATGACTTTACTTCAGTGATTAACGTATTTTATAATAAGTTTCGTAAAGGATTTTTTTTTATAATGATATACATATAGAAATCAGATCAGTTGGTATTACACTCTTTTAGCATTTTATGCCGTATAAAGCTTCACACGTAATTTTCTTTGCTTTACTATAATAATTATCTTAATTTTTTTACGCCAAGTGATTCAATTTGCGTGCTTACGTTTGTTATTGAAAAAATGTGAATACTTTAGTCACTGTCGAATATAAATCATAGTAGAGCCTCCCAACTAAACGGACCATTTCATATATTCGAATACGTTTGTGAAAGAATAAATTGTGATTTTATAGGTAATTGTATAAATCTTTATTGGTATATAAAGTATTTACTATCCATTTGAGACAGCTATGAGGCAATGAGAGCAGGTAGAAAGGAAAGTTGTTTGAATGCGAATGATTGCAGATACATACTTAAGTACGTACAAACTGACAAATGTTTTTTGTGTGATTACTAAATAATATTTAACGAAATATTCGACTATTTTTATAAATATTATTTTTTCATAGTTACGTTTTTTATAAATCTAAAGTTTATAGATGTTAGGTTTGATTCCTGTGCACTAATTATTATCAGTATTTGTAATAGGATATATGTATGTAATTTGAAAACTGATTGCAAGCCAATTAACATGTATTATATAAACACCGATAAATCGCACGGAGTGCTGTAATAAAGTGCTCGTTCCATCTTATATGATAGCTTTTTCCTTGCAGGGTTGACAATGAATACGTAATTAAACTTCACTAGCATCTACACGCGGCATCATCTATCCAAATTGATTTTCTTTTCTTTTCAAAGTATTATAAAATAACTTTAAAATTTAATTTTTATCCTACAGGAATGCATGACCTGGACAAAAATGTCCTCCATATTCGTTCAGAAAGCCTATGTGTATACCAAGTTTCACCAAAATCTTTTCTTTTACAATATTATAAAAGAATTTCGTTATCCTCTTTTCCCCGGTACCAGGACTTCGTGAGTAAACGAT